CTTTGAATTGATCATCTCAATGGTAATAGCAAGGTTAGAGAATTCTGACTCTATAGGAAATAGATAGTGGCTTTAGATAAATTTGTCTAAATATATATGTATGCAAATCAATCAAATCTGTCTTCATATTGTATTGAATGATAAACACTTCTTATTGCATGCATGTGATCTCAATCTTGTTCTTCTTTTAAATGGCAAGTATAATAAAAAATGCATTGAACATGCATGTAATCTCTAATATATTCTTCCAATGAAAAGCTTTCTAGTAATAAACAAGTATTTGTGAATAGCTAAAACTTTCTTTATGATGGCTGACTTTTTTGAGCTACATCTATTGGGATATCCAGGTTGTTATCAATAAGAATGCTCAAGATAGCCTCTTTCATGCATGCTGGGACAATAATCTTATGGCAAGTTGTAAATTCTACTAAAGTTCCTCTTATTTGACAGGCAATATGGAGTATTTTCATGGTTGAGCATTTTAAGCTAGAAATAGATGGTTCAATACTATAAGATGGCAAGAGTGGTTGTGGAGAAGTAATAAGGGATAGCACTAGTAAGTAGATATGCAATTTTAGTTGGAAACTCACTTCTATTCCTCTAGCTATTGCAGAACTTATTGGAATCAAACATGGTCTTCATTTGTGCTAGTCTAGAGGCTGCAAAGAAATAATACTGCACTTTGACTATGTTTAGGCCTTGTCTTTGTTATGTAGGGGTTGTGATTTAAATCATCCTTTTAAGGATATGATAGATGATACTAGAATTTTGTTTCAAAAGGATTGGAAGATTGTACCCATACATACTTACAAAGAGTCATTCGCTCTTATTGATTACTTAGCTAAGCTTTCCTATACTATGGAGGGTAACTTTTGCATCCTAAATCAGCTACCTTTCACCCTACAGGGAGGTTGATAAAGAAAACTATGTTGACTTCTTTGTTTTTTGAGTTTTTGTTGTAATAAATTTTAGTATTATTAAAAAAAAACTTCCTTTGCGAAGAATTATGGAACTTAATATATACTAATTAAAGTTTATTTTTAAGCTTGTGATTTAGTAATCTAGCTTCCTTATTAATAAGAACACCCTAAGTACACAAGCTTCTTTGCATTATTATGTAAGCTCTCCCACACAAGAAAGAATCACGTAAAGTACTCTACACTAACATCACAAACCACATCTACCCCTCTATATCATCTATATCATCATGCAACCTTTTCCTTTTAGGACAAAAAAGTCTTTGTAAGTTCATAATTTCATATTCAATTTGTATATGTCAAATTTATCCCATCATAAATAAGATGCTCTTTTATTACATCAATACCATGTTAGTTCTTTTTTATCACACAAGCACAACAACACACCCCCACTTTTACTAGGCAGATTTCTTTGAGAAAATTTCAATAATCATTCTACCATATCTTTATATTCTTTGCTAATTCTTCTAACTTTAATCCAACTACAATCCATTATATTACTACCTAGTGAATGAGCATAAAGTTTATCAAACTCTCATGTTCAATTCTATTTAATTAAAATATGACTTTGTTTGAATCAAATAATTAAGTTTTAGTCAATAAGTTGACTTAACTAATAATTAAAAATTTAAGGGGTTGCCTTATTTATTTTAAAACAATTGTTAGAGTCCCTTTCTTAAATATAAGGCATTGCAAAGTTTCAACATAATTATAAAAGCAATAGCAATAAAGAAGAGGCAAATTTTAACAATTAAAAGCTAATTATATATTATTGCTCATACAAAAAATCAAACTAGAAATTTAAACTAAATATCTCAAAATTATAACATATGCAAGTTCCAACAAGTATTCCAAGGGTCACCATTACAAATAATTAGGTTATCCAAACCAATAAACACAATTGCATAATTAAATATTAATTCCATAATTGACTTCAAAATAAAGCCTTTCAAGAGTAAAAGTTTGAAGTTTAGAAAAGTAACACAGACAAAGCCTGTTTATCATGAAACTTTGGGTTTAAGTTTCTTATTAATCAAAATTTTCAATTGAATAAATTACTTACCCAAATAATATCCACATTGTTTGTACCAACAATAGTCTAAAAATTCAACATAAACTACTTAAAAATTAAAAAAAATATATCGATACTAGTTGCAAAATAATCACACATTATAGCTCCAACAACTATTTCAAGTATAACTATAACGAATACATATGTTTTCCAAACCAACTAACCACAATCAAACCCAATTGCAATTGCATATAGTGAAAATTGACATAAGCAATACTCGGAAAATTGCGAACCTACAAAACAACCAATCAAAAGCAAAAATAATGTCTCAAGAATCAAGTAATGATTCCTAAATACAATATATTCAAGTTTAAAAGCATTAAACACCAACAAATGAAGAGAAAACAATGCAAGAAAGAAGGAGAGACAATTACGGGGTTGATAACAAGAAATGCAAGAAACCCAAGTTGCAATAATGGTGGAAAAAAGGCAGAGTGCCAACAACAATGGCGAAACATCAATAATGGGTGGAGGAAGACGTTGAGAGTTATAGATGTGGAAGAGACCACGACACAAATAGGTTATTGTGTTTGTAAAACTGAAACTATGAAAAAAAGAAAAAAGAAAAAAGAAAAGTCAAACGCTATTAAGATTAATTTAAATTAATTTTCTACATTGCTTAAAATAAAAATGTAATAAAAACCAGTGTAGGAAGTATTTGCTTGGTTCTAACAATGACCATTGTCGTAAACCAAAACTTATTTTTAAAAGTAAAGCAAAAGAATATAATCCTAAAATAAAAGATAGAGAAAGGAAAAGAAATGAAAGAGGAAACCAGTAATTGGGGCCAATTTTTCGTTCGTGCCACCAACTTCTCCATTTTCAAGCCCTAACAACCTTTCTCTAGTCAAGCCTTCAAGCCACCTTCAAGATCCATAATGAGCAAACATAAGAAAATAAGCCCTTGACTTGTATGGAAGAAAATCCTCAGAATTGTGCTTTTAATTCAGTTGTGCGTTTTTGGATCCAACTTGTGTGATAGTGTTGCTACCTTGGCGCCGTGGAACCAGAGATGACTTATGCATATTCTGATAGTGTTTGTATAACACCACTGTGCCATAGCATCATAGAGCCTAACATGACTTTTACCTCCTTTAACTTTCACTTTCTGTTCGTCTGAATCCTTAACTTCATCACCTACGAGAAATTAATAATTATGAATAAAAAAATGCTTGTTTTCCTTAATTCTATCATACTTAATGATATTTGCGTTCAAGGCTATACAGTGCAATTACTTAATTTTCCTGCAAAAACAAGCAGATACATTTTTAAAAAAGAAAAAGTTACGTTGATGACTCCCTAAATTAACCTCAGATAGCACTAAATATGGGGAATCATCGATAGTTTTACTTTGAGGATATACAGATGTTGAGAAAGAAGATAACACTTTTTAAATTGACAATTCTTGAGTGAATGTCAACTGTTGTATGACAATTCTCTGAATATCAACTGTTGTATCATGTATACGAATTGACTTAGTTTAACGTTTTAAGAAAATTATATATGAACATCTGCGCTAAATTCCTAGAGTCGTTGTACTCTTTTTAACTACATAAATTATGCATATTAAGAAAAGTATTTAAAATTACTTATTTTTTATTTTACTTTTTTTCGGCGATAATATAGTTTTGATTTTGTCAAAAACTGGAAAAAAATATTTCTGAATTATCCTATATTAAAGTCTTCATCAATGTCAATCACAATCTTAATTATATGTGAGACTTTAATTCCCTCTACCGTATATGGTAATATTTAAAAAATGCTTTATGAAAAGTCTTATGTTAAGAACTATTAAGCAGTTTTATAAATAGATTCAGAGTAATTTTTGTGTAATATTTACAATATAAAAATGTCTCCAATTAATATAAGTATAATTTTTAGCCACTGCTTGTTATCTGTTACATATAATTGTCTTGTCATCAGGAAAAAAAAAAATAGTCACTAAAATATGTACTTTTTGGGCCTAAACTAAATTTTTTATTTTGACTTACTTAAATAGATATAATAATTCTTATACTGAATTGTGGGCGAAGTAAAACCATAAGTAAATAAAGCATCACTTTTAGATGGAATAATGAAACTTTTATGGAGAAAGGCGCAAATTAAAATACGTCACTTATCTACATAAAATGAAAAGTCGACACAGCATGCACATTTTGCAAAGTTTCTTTCAAATTTATCAGTGCCAACCCCACTATCTTTACATAAATTAAACCAGCCCTGGTTTTATTGTAAAACGATATTTAGATTTATACAATAAAAAGTAAACAAATAATTGAAGTGGTTGATGCGTGGGTGAGCATTGATAAATCGTTATAGCTTTTTTAACCCTTGTATTATTAGGCCCCAAAACAAAATGGTCGTCAACCATGCTAATCACAGAGATAACTATTCATTAAATTAATTAAGTTAATTATTTCTTCAGAAATGTGTGTTTGTTTTCTAAAATAATACTCATTTAATTTGTATTAAAAGCTCTCTTAACAAGTACTCTACCGGTTATATTTATAAAATACTTCCAACCTATTTTGCAGATACCCAAAAAAACATTAAACCTAATTAACTCTGTCTTAAAATTTAACAATTTTTAACTTTATTTTTATTTAATTTAATATACATTATATACATGAAAACAAAGCTAACAATAATATATAAAAGATAAAACTACATACTTATATGAAAAATTTAATGATTAGACTTATAAATATGATAGAAAAAATTTCTATACTCTGACTTTGAAATGGTACTAGAGGAGTATAATTAGTGCTTAGAAAACAAATTATTAGTTTGAGAAACAAACTGTATTAACATCTCGCCAAATAAAACAAATCCCTCCACTAACTATTGAAGTTTGGGGGGTAATTACCGATTCAATTATTTCTCTCTCCCAGAGGCCAACGTTCGTATAAATAGCTCGTTCTCTACCTTCATCAATGGTGAAAACACAAAATCATGGGGATGATATTGATGCTTCTTTTGTTCCTTCAAAGTTTAACTACTTCCATTGAATCCACTACGGCGAAAACTCACAGGGGCGTCTCGTTCTCGTACCCTCACTTTCAACACCTTGATGTGAAACAAGGCATTGAAGAAACGAAACTCAACTTGACCCGAGAGACGGAGAGTAAGGAACAAAACGGGAAGCTCAGACTAGTTCACAGAGACAAAATGATAAGTTTGCACGACAGTGGAGGTCGTCACGATCCTGGCCGGCGTTTCAGTGATCGAATGAAGAGAGACGTGAAAAGGGTGGCATCCTTAACTGGACGGCTTAGTTATGAGGCCGAGGCGTTCGGGTCGGATGTGGTTTCGGGTATGGAAGAGGGAAGTGGAGAATACTTCGCTAGAATTGGAGTTGGAAGCCCTCCAATAAGTCAGTACGTTGTGATTGACTCAGGAAGTGACGTTATATGGCTCCAGTGTCAGCCATGTGACCAGTGTTACCACCAATCCGACCCGGTATTCAACCCGGCCAATTCTGCCTCCTTCGCTGGAGTCTCGTGCTCCTCCGTGACCTGCAACCGCCTGGAGAATGCATATGCAGGGTGTAGTCAAGAAGGTAGATGTCACTACCAGGTGTCATATGGCGACGGTTCCTACACAAAAGGGACGCTGGCACTTGAAACCCTAACCATGGGTCGGACCACTATCCAAAACGTGGCAATCGGGTGCGGGCATAAGAACCAAGGCATGTTTGTGGGAGCGGGTGGGTTGTTAGGTCTTGGAAGTGGGTCCATGTCTTTCGTGGGGCAGCTGGCTGGCCAAACAGGTGGAGCCTTTAGCTATTGTTTGGTAAGTCGGGGCACCGGCTCATCCGGGTCACTTGAATTCGGACGTGAATCCATGCCCGTTGGGGCGTCATGGGTTCCCCTGGTCCACAACCTTCGGGCCCCAAGTTTCTACTACGTGGGACTTTCGGGTCTTGGAGTCGGAGCCTTGCAGGTGCCCATATCAGAAGATGTTTTCTCACTAGGCGAGCAAGGCGATGGAGGCGTCGTGATGGACACCGGCACCGCCGTCACAAGGCTTCCCACGGCAGCGTACAATGCATTCCGTGATGCTTTTATTGCGCAAACCACCAATCTTCCACGTGCATCCAGAGCATCCATTTTCGACACATGCTATAACTTGAACGGGTTTCTGTCGGTTCGGGTGCCAACCGTATCCTTTTATTTCACAGGGGGCCCGATCCTCACGCTGCCAGCACGCAACATTTTAATTCCCGCAGACAATATTGGAACTTTCTGTTTTGCGTTTGCTCCTTCTCCTTCAAAGCTTTCCATCATAGGGAACATTCAACAAGAAGGGATCCAAATCTCAGTGGATGTAGCCAGTGGGTTTCTGGGTTTCGGGCCCAATGTCTGTTAAGTAATTATTATTTCAGTAGATATATTTATCTAGTCTTAGTACTGCATAATTAATCTTTATATTCTGTAATATATATATATAAAGATAAGTCATGCGTGTGGCGATAATTTACTGCTGAAACTATATTCAAATGAAAGCAGTTAATGTCAATCTGGTTTGATTAATGATAGTTCTTTTCTTTTTTGGCCTCCAAAGTTACAGTTTTATGTGTGCAAAAGGTAGGAAAGTAAAAAAATGAATATGATGTGGAGGGAATAATGACAAGAATGATGGAATAAGATAACTTGGTTGGGTAGGTATTTCGAGTAAGAAGGAGGATCCAAGATAAGACTGTTCTATTTGGTACAGTTCAATGATTTCAAACTGGGCGCATATTGGTCCTCCACTACTGACGAGACGTTACGCTAACTTTAATTTTTTGTGTTAACTTTCTTTATTTCCTTTCTTTCAGATTAACAGATTCTTCACTCTTTAAAGATGCAACAGCTTGGATAATGTCACTTGAATCCACTTCTATTTGTATTTATGCTCTCCTTTTGTTGCCAACTAAAATTGCATTAATTTAATTAAGAAATTAAATGGTCACTTTTTTCTCCATTATTTTTCCCCTTCTTTTGTTTGCTTTTTGCCCCAGATTGCCTTTTGTTCCGTTTCTATATGTCCTCCTCCATCCCACGCAGCCACAAAAATTGTGTTAACTATTCCCCCAATAATTTTACACAAAATGACTCATCCAATCTCTTTACCCAAACATTTCTTACTATTATTTGGGCTCTTACTGAAATGGGCTTATGCGGCCCTAATCAAATAGGTGGACCAGGTATAACGCAACTCTTTTTTTTTTTGACCTTTTAGGAAAAAGAAAATAAAATACCATAAAAAATGCTAAAGGATAAATTAGGTTGGATGAATTTCATAATCTCAAATCAAACTGCTTGTCATATTTTAAAATTTTAAAATATTGTGAAATGACAATACTGCTCTTATTCCAAATAACTATTTTTGTATAACTGTTGACTATTCTAGCTTAATTGATTACTTTCGCTTTCAAAGTTTGAATAAGTATTTTTATATAACTATTAACCATACAAGAGTGGTAAATAACTAAACAAAACTAGCCCCTAGATCTCCAACAATACTTTTTTAAATTTTTAAAGAAAATTAGTTAGTAGCTAAACTAGAGCAGTTACCAAGTTTTTTAAAATAAAATTAGTTAATCATGATACTAGAGTAGTTAATAGCTAAGTAGAATAGTTATTGGAGTTCTAAATACTAATGTAGTCAATAGCTGAAAAATAATAGTTAGTGCATAAGGAGTTTTAACCACTAGAGTTCCAGCAGTCGCGACTACAGGGTCACCAGCGTCAGAGCTCCAATGACTGGAAACCGATTAAAGATGCTGAGGTGGTAATATTTGAAAGAAAACAAGAAAAAAAAAGTGAAGGATGTGACAACCGTTCTTTCAAAACTCTTTTAGATTAAATCCAACAATTTATTCGAAATATTAACTATGATAGAAAAGAAGAAACCTTAAAATTTTAAAATCGCTACCATGGTTAAAAGAAATAAACTTATAATACAAGCAACATGAATTGTTGACTTAGGCCTTAGACTTCCAAAGTCTAGAAATATCATTCAACCATTAGCTTAAACCAAACTTATACTTTCCAACATACAAATTGATAAATTATTTTTAATATAAGCTATGGAGCCCATTAGTCAAAAATCAACACTTTCAAAAGAGTGTCACATGTAGAGTCTGAGATGTCTCTAGCCTTCTAGCGGCCTTATCATACCAGGTAGTAGTAATTAAAAGTATTAGTTTACAACATTAGAGTAGATGAGCCCTATGTGGCAATATATAACAAGTCAGCACATAGAACAAAAGCAGGGAAGCTATACAAGCTATAATAGTAGTATGAACTAGAAGTTCATAAAGTATTGCATTTGTAAAACATTACTAATATCTGCCAGATATAATCACTAACCCAAATAAGAATTTTTAATTCTTATATTCCAGCTAAAAGTGCTCCTCTTCTTGAAGACATGCTAAAAGCATGAGATTATGATCGGTTCCAAAAGAAAAGAAAAAGGAGCAAATGATCATGATGATCATACTAAGGAGGCATGAATTGCAAAAAAAAAAAAAAAGTTTAAGACAACTATTTAACTCTTGAAGAGATTTAAGTGTCTGAAAGCAATAAAGAGATCTCAATATGTTATGTCATAAAAGAAAGGGGGACCGATAAAGAAATAAAATTGTCGACAATAATTTTATTGATGATATCACATGATCAAATAAGGATCTTTTATATAATTCTGTCATGAGATACAGACAGAAAAATGGTTGGCCAACAGGGGAAAAAAAAAAGACGCAATGTAATTGGGATTTGTATACCTCTAGCCTATGCACTTGAAGTGTAATGCTATTATTATGTAAATAGACATTTGTGCAATATAAAGAGAAATAAAGTCTTATGATGGATTAAATTACATGTCTTATCAATCTGGCAGTCTGGTAATAAATAAAGTTTTTTCATGTGCGTCTTTGACATATATAACTATAATGTATGACTCACTTTATAGTGAAATTATATGTGAATCCCAAAAGGATTCAAATCCTTTTATAAATTCAAACGATTCAATACATGAATAGATCTGGATTATAATGTATGAAAATCCTTGAAGGATTTAAATTTCTAGAAGCATACAATTATGTTCTTAGGAACATTATTCAATTAAATCTCTATATGAGGCATATGCGGTTAATATCGATTGAAGAAATGATGTAAACATATTTCAACTTGTCTATTGGTGAAAAGATTCAAAATGAGTTTGTTATCAGTATTATTCATGACGATAGCATCGAAACTCCTAATGAGTTTTCAAAAACTACAAATTAATTAAAGAAAAAGTTTGAAATGAAAGCTTCGAAAAAAATACATATGGATAAGTAACATTCATTATGTGGATAAGTAACATCTATTATGTGTTTTGGTAGTTACAAGAGCTTTAGATATGGATTAAAAATCAATTTAGACCTCCAAAAAGTAATGAATAAACATTTGGTCCAGAAGTACCATATCTTAGTATCACTGAAGCATTTATATATCTAGCCATACAAAACTTGATATATCATTTGCTGATTAGCATAATATAGTTCTTTGTCAACATGAAGATGTTGTAATGGAATTAAAAATATTCTTTGTTACTTTAAAGATACCGTGGAGGTAATATTATTTTATCTGAAGATACCCAAGACTAATTTTAATGGCTATATAAATAAAGTATTCTTATTTGATCATCATATCAAGAGATCATAATATGATCTATGTGTGGGTAAACCATAAAAGACTATTCGTCTCATGATTTTCAGCAGATCATGAAATTCATATTTGACGTTTTTATCTCATTACAATATTTAGAAGGGTTGTTCGTTATATTAGACGTTGTAGATGTCAACTGATGTTGCCAAAAGAGAGAGTTGATACACATTGTACTCTTTTTTTCTTGTCTATGGTTTTGTCCTACTGGGTTTTCCTAGTAAGATTTTTAATGAGGTAGCATTGCATAGTGTATCAATGAATGATGTACTCCTTCTCTTTTGCTTGGTTTTTGTCCCACAGGATTTTTTCTAGTTGAAATTTTTTAACGAGACACATTCATATATATTGGACATCCAAGAAGGAGTGTTATGAATATAATAATATTTTGTGGATGTCCATATATCTTCTATTATCTCCTATATCTCCTATAATCTTCAATATCTCCCATTATCTCTATATCCCACAATTATCTCATATTATTATATAATCTGTAGATTCTATCAAAGGTGTAAAGCTATACCTATAAATAGAGGCTATGTATAATGTATTGAGTACACTTGAATGGAATGAGAAATACACTCTCTTGTTGATCATCTCTTCCTCTGTATGATTCTTCTCTATATTTCTTATTTATTTATAACAGAATCAATATTTATTAAAATCTGACTCTATTTTTACCTTCATGGATACTATTTAGGTGAGATATTATTCTATTTGCATGAACAGGAACAAATTAAGTACTATTTCTGTTCCGTAATATAGAAGCCAGTTAACTAATTTGAGTAGATTTAGAAAATTAGTTATCTTGTTTATAATAAATATATGTTGTTTTTTCTAAAATATCATTGCTAAACAAGTATATTGGCTAAAACTATCATTATTACAAAGACTACCTTAAAAAATGGATAAATATCATAGAAAAGGTAGATTGGGGTCTTATAGTGGAACTAAAATAAAAGTCAAATAAACTCTTATATTAAGAACCAGAAGTAGTATATTTACCCCCATAATTTTTTGCCTGAATGTATTATCCCAATATATGTGATATAGATAAATTTGAAATCCTTAAATGAGTATTTAATAAATGAGGTTCATGAATGGAGGTTATGTACAAAGTACTACCTCTAGTCCTAATTATAATACATACCACGATTCTAATTATAAGATCTCATTTTTAGTCTATAAATGAAGTCTTATAATTAGGATCGAAGGTAGTATTTGATATCTCTAAATGAATGATGAATGAGTATTTAATAGATGAGGTTCATGAATGGAGGTTCTCTACAAAGTACTACTTCTAGTCTTAATTATAAGACTCATCCCGATTCTAATTATAAGATTTCATTTATAATCTATAATTGAAGTTTTATAATTAGGATCGGAATTAATGTTTGATATCTCTAAATGAATGATAAATACTATCCCTCTTATTCTTATATGCCAAGACAAGAGTCTCCCTCAATCAATATTACTCATTCTTCAAAGATCCTTTTTCTATCAAAATTGGATTAATCCTTTTTGGGAATTTGGATTCTAGAATCTGGATCCTTCTATTAGTTTTTCTTAATTTATTTTTAAATAAAGTATTGATGCAAAATTAAAAGAAAAAAGAATAGTTCTTTAACAAAGTTTCATACAAACTTTTAAAATATAACAACTATAGTTATTGCACTCTCCCGTCTGATTTACAGGAGGTGCATATGCTTGGATGTATAATTTTAATCATCCAAATTTAAATGAAGGTCTTATATTCAAATGTATATCTCTCTCTCATGTATGCTTGCACCCCATTCCTCACACACATTTTTAATTCTATCTTACATATATAACTATAACATTTCTATCTCATACACACCCCACTCATTCTATCTCGTCCTTTTCTCTCACTCACTACATTATCTCTCTCTAACTCTCCCCCTAACACAATAATATATAGAAAAAAAAACTTTTAGTTATTTAGAGTTAATTATATCAATAAAAACAATTATGATATAAATATGATAACCTTTAATAAAAATAATAAAAGAAATTTGAAAAACGCTTTCAGCGGTGACTAAAATGTCGACGCCGAAACATACTTTCAGTGGCGACACAACAAGTCACCACAGAAAGTCCTACATTCGGCGGTGACAATAAAAGTCGCCGCTGAAAGTATTTCAACGATGACTTTTATTGTTGCTGCTAAAAGTCGTCGCTAAAAGTGATTTTTTTTTATAGTGATATTCATAGCCTTGAACATGAATCTTCTGCAGAGAAATGGAAGGCCAACAGCCCCATACGTATTGAACCCACACAGAAGCAAATAAGAAACGTAAATACCTACCTTCACTGCCTCCCAAAAAAGTAAATGCCAAACAGCAAAACATGAATTCTGACCCCTAAACTTCCGGAAAATTTTTTGACAAAAACAAAGACTAAAATTGTTGCTCCATCTGAAATTTGAGTTAAATAAATATTCATTTAGTTAAATTAATAAGACATTTCTAACATGTTTCATGTAGACAAAAAAATTTTAAACTGCAATAACTCTCCATTAAAATATAATAACTTGTCAACTTTATTCTTATTTAATATATACACTTTTAAAAAAAATAACTATCTATACTATAATAAATAAAAATAAAATAGTACATCCATACTAAAAATTTAATGAAGTGATTTATAAATAGGACCAAGAAAAATTATTTCTCTTTGCTTTATAAATAGGACCTGAGAAATAAGTAGTTATATTCTTAAAATATTAATAATGGTTGAAAGCTAATAAAAGAATTAAAAAAAAAAAAAGAAGTAAACAAATATAGTTTGTTAAATTGCAATTAAGATACACCCGGCTGTGTGTTTAATCTCGACATGCGTATAGGGGCATATCAGTAATTTTTATTATCTCTGTATGTAGCTTTTAATTTTGAAGTAAGGAAGCAAACAAAAGGCTTAATTAAGTGCTAATAACATTTCTGACTAATAAAGTTTATTAAAAACTTCTATTACAATTTTCACAGCAAGAAGTTTACGAGATGTGGCATCTTGATATATATATTCTTCAGATATTTCTTAAAATATTATTCAAATTTCAAGCACACCTAATAATAATTTATATAATTCAAAAATGAGACTCTAAACTATTTGATTAATTCCTCATATTAACATGTAAAATATGTAATACACTATAAAGTTATGATATTCAGTACGCTTGGTTCGCCAACGATACCTCAGTTATTACTTAAAATAATTTTTCTCCACCAAGCATTTATTATTTCTTTCCACTTATTATTAAGAAATCAGTTATAAAACATTTTTCATTATTTACTGTACACTCAATAAAAAAAATTTAAAAAAATAAAATAGATACTCCCTCCGTTCCTTATTATAAGAGACACTTGATGCTTATGCCATGTTCCTATATATAAGAGACACTTACAAGTTGTCTCTACTTTTTTGTGTTGATTTACTATTTTACCCATATTTATTATCTCCGACTCACACTCTCTCTCCCTCCCACTTCTTTTTTTTTAATAATTAATGTTCTCTCTCATACTCTCTCTCCTTATTAATGAGGGCATTTTTGGAAGAAAATTATACTTTTATACATTAATTGTTCTTAACTAACTTTAACTGTTTTTTGATCAACGTACTTCGGTTATTTGTCTCTTATAATAAGGAACGGAGGGAGTATTATATGATTTTACTGTACATTAATTCAAACAACAAATTAAAGGAATTGACTGTCTGTTAGAAATTATCAATTTGGGGGGACTATGAAAAGTCAAAAACTCATTAATCATTTAACATTCACATCTTCCAAAATGCCACTTGAATGCTTTGAAAATTCCAAGAGAAGGATATTATCTGTAGATTAAACTAAAAAGTCATTCCAACCAAGAAAAGAATTCATCTAGTTAGACTTCATCTAAACAGTATTTAATATTTTACTAGGAATATCTTATTTAATATATTTTGTTATAAATTACTACCTCCGGTCCTAATTATAAGAATCAGTTGACTAATTTGAGGAGATTAAGGAAGTAAGTTGAGTTAGTTATTTGTCTTAAATAAGTGTTTTCTTTCTTAAAATATCATTGCTAATCAAGTATATTGACTACAATTATCATTGTTAGAAGGGCTACTTTAGAAAAAAAATGTATAAATATGAGAGACAAAGTGGATTGGGGTCTTATATTTAAAATCAAAATAAAAGTTAAACAGGGTTTTATATTAAGGACCGGAGGTAATAGTTTGGAGTGAAATCTATGACCCAAAAAAAAAGAAGTGTGAAGTCAAAATGGTTGTTCCGATATGTTTGCCTCTCACGCGGATGGTTTGTTAAGAAGTATTTTGTGGTTTCATTTATTTATTCTTATCTTTGCTTGATTATTTCTTTATGTTATGTTTTCTTTTAAAAATCTCAAGAAGGTTTTACTTCAATCCTTTTTTTTAAAATTTTGCGTCCACCTATCTAATAGATAATCTTTAGAAATAAAAAGATGGACTTCTTTGAATTCTATGCAATAAAATTAGACAATATCTATTTTGATTTATTTTTTTAAAAAAAAAAAGTTTCCCCGAATTACATGATTATAAGACACATTAAAATGGAGTATAAGCCCCAAAAATTCGAATAAAGAAAACAGAAAAAATTATAATTATAGGGGGCTCAAACATCTGAAAACATCTTATATCTTACATTGTAAAACTGAAAAAAATATTAAGTATCCCAATGTGCACCATTCCCCGTTTCTCGCTTTCAAAGCGATGATAACAACGCCGCCTCACTGATACGATCTAAAACTACTAGGCTCCCCCAGCTCGGATTAGAAGCTTCAGCCATTCGAACACTAGAAAATGTGAAATTATGTTGCCAATTCGCTCTATCATGAAACTCCACAGTGCGGTAGTACTAGCCTGACTGCACAGATTCCACGACTTCAACAGCAATGGCATCGATGCCAAGAACATTACCAACATCTTGCTGGTTCCAAACCTAGCACAAGAAAATTAATCAATCTTAAAAACAAAAACTATTTAACATGTTTTCGGAAGAACACAAACAAACATATGAAAGTGAAAGAACTCATTACCTACCTACCACCATGATGATGAAACTCAAAGACCTCAACCACGTTCCACAAAGCCAAATAGTGTCATCACACACATGCACAAGAAATACAGGCACAAAGATATGTGTCATGATATCCTGACCTCATGGACGCTAAAGAAATCTCCATAGAGTGATCCATTCTTGTGGTCAGCCCTCTGCAGTAAAGAAAAAAGATAACAACCAACACCAAACAACCAAAACATAAAAAGAAAAACAAAAACAACAGCACAAAAGCCCCACAACAACTCTATATTTATAAGATCACCAATCCAAGAAAGACCCCACTTTCCCAAAAGATAGGGAACGAAAAGACGGACAATAAATGAAGATAAAACTATCAATACAAATACATGTACCTAGACTGAAAAAAGAGACTTATATCAACAACCAACAGCCACTATGATGCAAAAGAAAACAGTCTAAGACCACCATGTAGACCAATCACAAAACTGCTATAAAGTTTATAGGATATATAGATATATTTCCGGGTCATTCTTAAACTTCCTGATTGGGATTTTCTTTTTCCTTTCTTGATGGCGGGATTGAGAATTTGAGATGGAGTATCCAATGCATGGGTCATCATTGGAGGAATTTTCCTAGGAGGCTAGTTAGAGATAGCCTTAGTCAGATATCTACTTGTGTTGTTACGGGGCTTTACCACGTAGAGTTATGCAAGACAGGGCATCACCTACTGATATCTGACATCGATTAAAGTATAAATTTGTCTTAAAAATTTTTATTTAAAAATATTGAATATCCAAAATTTTTTACATGCAACTTTGTCCAAAAAATTTAAAATTGTAATAATTTTATTTCTTATTATTAAAAGTAAGAGCAAAATTACTATATTTTAAATTTTTGAGATAAATTTGCACTAAAAAAACATTTTTAGATATTCAACGTTTTTAAAGAAAAACTTTCAAAACAAATTTATATATTATCCCATTTAAATTAAAACAGAGGAAGGAAGAGATGGCCTTGTCATTCCTAGCAATATGGTTAGCAGTATAATCCATTTTCTATCGTTTCCATTTACTATATAAAAAAATATAAATGCCTTCCATAAGAAAAGGTAAATAGAATTAATTAATTATGAATTAAAACTCAGCTAATCAGGATCGCGATCGCAACAGAAAGATTCCACCGGTGGTTATGTTTGGCACAAAAATTTAGGGCCTCGAAACTTATCCGCTCACTGGACTCGGTATTAACCACACAAGAAACTGACTATATTACGTCTCTTTTCGGGGTTCACCGTTTCTGATTCTTCGTTCCTTCGATCTTACTGGAAATTAGAGAGAAAGAGAAAGCATAGCTCTGAACAAACAAGCTTGCTCGTACTCGTCGATCACCTTTTTCTGGTTCTCTGCGTCTCACCATGGTATCATCTTCTCTATCCGTTTCGCCGCCGCCTCAAACCGATTACCTCCAAAACCTGTTAGACTCAGCTCGTCCTTTCCTCCGCGATGAGTTCCACAAAATTGATCCCAACTTACCATCGCTTATCGCCGTCCTTCGCTCGGTCGGCGCCGGCGAGTGCTGGCACAAGCACGGCACCTTCCTCCAACACCTCATTGACATCTTCCGCATCCTCCATCTCTGGAAAGCCCCATATTCGGTCTGCCTGTGTGGCCTCTTCCACTCTGCGTACTCCAATTCCTACGTCAACCTCGCCATCTTTGATCCTTCCACCGGCCGTGACACCGTTCGCTCTCACGTCGGAGATGAGGCCGAGCGTTTGATTCACTTGTTTTGCGTGGTCCCAAGGCAGCCACTTATCCACGAAGATCTGTTGTTCCGCTACTCCGATTCTGAACTCGTCGAACACCTGCAGTTCTCCGAATTATCGATCCGGAGTGCAAAGGAGAAAGGGCTTTTCAACGGCGAAGAAGTCTGGAGAAAGAAACTGCAGAGTCTGCTTCCTGCTGATGGCATAAAAGTGAAGCACATTCGCACTGGACAAGATGTCCATGTTTCTAGAAGGATCGTTGCAATCTTCCTGTTGATGACCATCGCCGATTTCAGCGATCAACTGTTCGGTTTTCAGGACACGTTGTTCGACAACTCCGACGGCCGCCTCGAGTTCTCCGGCAACAACTTCCAGACTCTTTGGCCGGGGGATGGGAAGCCAGGACTATGGTTGAATTCAATCTCGAGGATGGCAGCTTTGTACAGTTTGATAGCGAGAGAGGAGGAGATCTTCCTAGAAGAGAAGAAAAGAAAGAATGGTAATACCAATATTGACCGGGGTAGAGATGAACATATCGAGTTGGTGGTTCCGCCTGTGTTTGAAAATTGCACAAGAGTTTTAGATGCGAAAGACCAAATAGATGCAAGGGATTTGTATTGTGAAGCTGTGTGTGGTAATAAAGTGGCTAGTCACAAAACTGAGGAGCTTTTGAAAGGATGTATTGAGAAGAATCCGTATGCGGGAGAGCCATATGTATTGTTGGGTCAAGTTTATTTGAGCAAAGGGAGATTTGAGGAGGCAGAGAGAAGAAAGAAGCAGAGAGAGGATTGACTCTGTTGCTGGAATGGGGAAGTCCATGGGACAAGAGGAATTCCTGGGAAGGATGGATTGCTTGGGCTAGAGTTTTGTTGATGAAAGCCAAGGAAAAGTCTTGGCCTAATACTTCTTGGGGCATCCTCAATTTGGGTCTTGTGAAGTAATATCCATCAAGCTCAATCTGCCAGCTCTCCATAGCTGAGCAGCTTTGTTGGGTTCTGTTATTATGTGTTTAATTTATAAATATGCCTGTGATTTTTATTTTGTATGTCCCTCAATCAGACCCTTATTTATTGAGAATTTTCTTTGAGTAGTGATATATGTGAGTGTGTTTGGTTTACCTTGCGTATCAAAAGAGTGGGCTTGTACTAAAAAGGTGTTTGAAACTTTCATATAAGTTGGGATAAAACTTTTCTCATATATTTAATTTGAACACCATAAAATTATTTATGAAATACTTATCCAAACAAGTGACTATTTTGGTTAGGCGTGGTTTATGAATACAGGTCTGGATATATTGTATTGAGTATTATGTTTGGTTTACATCTGAAGAAAACGTTAAAACGATATAACTGTGATATTGATGGGTTATAGTTTTTAAGTGATATATGGGAACTTTGTCCCCACAAGTAACAATATATTGTATTGAGTATTATGTTTGGTTTACATCTGAAGAAAACGTTAAAACGATATAACTGTGATATTGATGGGTTATAGTTTTTAAGTGATATATGGGAACTTTGTCCCCACAAGTAACAAAAATTAAGTAGTTTTGCATATGTTGCGGAATCTTTTCTTTCCTTGATGAGTCTCCCTATCTTTATCATGTTGTGTAAGGGTCACACATCCGGAAGTTGTAATAATTTGAAACTGAAGATAATGGCCAAAATGCTATAGCTATTAATTCTCCTTTAGGTTCGATCACGTCAGGCCTTTCAGTAAATAGTAAAACATATTCCTCTGGTACAAAACATAAGGCTTATATGTTAGTTAAATTATTTAATATAATGTTTTTCCCCCCTAAAACAATCTAAGTATCGTTCTTAGTTTCTTCTTTCCCTTTCGTACTTGATTATTGCTAATGAAATATCACACTACAAAAAAGCACCCAATTACTGACAGAATTACTAACGGAATTACCTACGAAATACAAAATTATTGACGAAATTTGCGATGGATTTGCAACGGAATGAGATTACCGATAGAATTTCTGACAGAAATCATTCTGTCGGAAATTCTTTCGTCACTAATTTCATTTGCGATGGAATCCGAAATTCTGTTGGTAATTTCTGATGGAAATTCTATCAGAAATTACCAACGAATTTGCGACGGATAGTTTCGATCAGTAGTTTTGTGACGGAATATTCCATGGCAGATTACCTGTGGAATCAGCCACAGAATTTGCCACGAAATTTCCTTGAGTAACTCCGTGGCTAATTCCCATATTGCACCAGTAATTCCCTTTTTTATTAGTTTTCTTATATTATACTATGTTATTTTGATTAATTGTTTAGTTTGTCAAGAGGAAGTAAAAAGCAATTGAATTTGTTGAAAATCAAAAGTATTGTAATTAAAAAATATATAGTCTTTCATAGATCCTGGATACATAAAATGTCAAATGTCAACTAAAAAACATACATAATAACCCAAACTGTCTAATAATAATGACCCTTAACTGTCATTTTCTAACTTTATATTGCTGCTAGATGGCTCAAATAATCTAATTCCCATTTCCTCCAATGCAGACATGATTTTGCTGTAATTTTGTTTCATCTCTTCATGCTCTTGTTTAACTTGTTAATTCTCCTGTGTAAGCTCTGTTATCCTCGTGCGCAATTCAGTTTCAACATTAGGATTTATGCCGGTGCTATTAATGGAAGGAGAAGATCCTTGAGGAGCACAAATATCATCATCTGCCTAAGATCCAAATCCATAGATGCAGCTCTTCTTGCTCTTACCACCTATAACCTCTAACTATATATTAAATTTTTCCTGATTAGATTGCACACTTAGAGAGCCTCTCTCAAAACTTAATTCTGCCTTTCTCTTTATGAACTCATCCTATAAAACAAAAGATAATAGGAGCATATGAGATAAGTGTATGTTTTATTTAAATAAGAATTCACAATCATGCATCACTAAAAAATAAATAATTCATCATGACATAATAAAAATTTAGTAGTTATGTTAAGCAAAACCATAATTAATAACAAAGAAATAAAAATATCCCATTTTTGTATGATGGAATGGGGAAAAAAAAATGAATATGATGCCATGACACATGTTGAAGGTTATCCCAGAACACATTGATTTAGTAACAAATTTCAAGACATGTTCAATTTAAAACTATAAATTTTTCTTCTAGCAAATTGGTGCAGCAAAATATGAATGCCTCATGTGTTTATATATATATATATATATATATATATATTTAAGGCAAGATCCTTTTCAACTTAATCCCAATTTTAAAAAAAATAAATCCAGAACAAGTTAAATCTAAAAGAATAAGAGTGATATTTAAAAAAACTAATTTTCAAAAATAAAATCACACCAAGAATAAGAAAGGATACCATAATTCACTAATTTCTATAGCAGATGATGACATTTACCAATTCTATTAAATTGAACAGTATGCAAATGTAACCCAAATTCAGTAACAAAGCAAAGTAGATTGGAGAATAGAATAGCATGTGTATAAGTTCTATAACTTCTAACAAGTCAGAAACAATAGATTTGAAGCCTAACACTAGTTAGCTTTAGACAGTTAGCACAATCCAAATGATTTAATATGACTAACATTCAATAAGACACATACTACAACTAGTCAGGCCTCTGGCCGTCAGCACTAGTTTAGATCCAATATGACAAACATTAGAACATATACTCACATAAGCTAATTCGCTCGCTGAATCTGCAAATTTTCCGGTTTTACCATTTAAATGGTCTCTTGAATAGTTCAAACACGATAGGATCTCTTCCTAACTCCAGCCTGAAATTATTTACAAGTATGTATTAGACATGCATTAAACAATAATGATTTAATTTGAAGATAATTCTTACTAGCCTCCTCTTATGCTCAGTATTAGGAATACTCCTACTTTTGTGTTGAGTGCCTCCTATGGTTGAGGCTCGATTGGTTTTAGTAATCTCACATTTGACCTTATAATCTTTTGATGCCCATATTCTTTCTAACTCATCCATCACTTGACGTGGAATCCATTTAGCCCTAACTTGTTTTTGATACAAGTCTTGCCTGACAGTATGCATTGTATTTCTTAAAATTTCTGCGCACTTTGTATTTCTAATTTTCTTAATGGCATCATCATACTGTAGCAACCATTTATATTTTCACTGCATAAATGAGTAACAAAAAAAAATTATTAAGTAAACATAATGAGAGGAAAAAAATTGAAAACATAAATAATTAGATATAAAATTTACCGCCCATTCATCAAACCACATTTTCTTGTACTCAAAAGGTGTTGCTTTCTAGCTAGAACATGGATGATCAAATTTTTCTTGAATAACAGGAAGAATATTTCGTACAGTAACAACAGCAACATTAAACCTAATTACAATTTTGTAAAAAAAGTCATTATAAATGTTGTTAGAATGGCTTTAATAAACTAAATGAAGATGTGAAATAATATAACCTTGATAACGACTTACGTTTTCTTTTCAGATATATCCATGTTTGACCATCTGAGAAATCATAACCCGATGGTGAAAAACTAGTAGGAGGGGCCTGTGGAGTAGGGGGATGCGAGTTTTCAATTTCAGGAGATGGGATCTGAGGAGGTGATGCACCATGTGATAATGAGGGTCTACTATCAGATTGAGTCATCATTGGAGATAATGAAGGTTACAATGAAGGTCTGCTACATTCTTCTTCATTTATAATTGGAGGTGAAGTGATCAAGTTTGCTCTATCACGCTTTAAACCACGACCTGGCATCTACATATTGAAGAACCTTGGGTTAGTAATAATAAATAATCATCACAAAATAAATCTCAAGTACAATAGTATCCCCCGGGCCCTAATTGAGTCAACGGCATTCCACTTGAACATTTGAAATAGGCCCTGTTTGACTTGGATTTTAGATCCCTTTTCTGTGATTTTGCTTACCCCTGCTTCACAAGTACAATAGTATCCCCTGGGGATAACGTGTGTGTGAGAGAGAGAAAGTACAAACTAGTTGATATATCTACCAAAAAAAACAAGAGGACGCATGGTAGCTTGAGAACTAACGGCAACAACCAACCAAAAGAGCGAGAGAATAAGAAAAAGTAGAGAAGCAGAGATGAAAGGCCCACCCCCACCGCCTGCCACAGAAAACTTTCTCCGTTCATGCTAGCTTTTGAATTAATCGCCTGTCTTTTAAGTTTGATATCACTGACTAAAAAGAGAATACTCTTATTTATTATTTAATATATAATAAATCCTATAATTATCCAATGTGATGACAACATACGGAACAGTATGGTACATATTCTATGCATTTATTATAAGTAATCTTGATCATAAAAAAAAAATGACTTAACCATCATACTTGTGGTGATTTTGTTTTTCCTGCAAAATATACTGTTAAAATAAAAAAGAAGTTGAAAATAAAACCAGATTAACAAGCTCCAAGTCTCTCTTTAGTTGAGAAGGCAGGTAAACAGTACACATACCCACACTCCGTGTAATATTGCAACCATTGAATTCTGGATATAGACAAGCATACATAGGGGAGCCTCTTTCTTCCAATAAATTAATACTTATAAGAAGACTAACCATGCAAGACAACATATTGGCCTCTTTAGTGAGAAGAGCCAAAGGTCAAATACTGGATATGTCAGGGATATCTGCCAGAGGACAAGTTATTAAAATGCCGAAAACAGAATTGTGCAAATAGCTAAATATAGTTTCTTATTTGAAATCTAGCTGGCTTTTTAATATACAAGTCAAACACTTACGGTTAAAACTATCAGATGTTACACAACACGTCAAAGCTATAAATTATAATAAGAAAGCTTCCCCCCGTCGAATAACCTCAATTATAAACAGTGCATTCATAATAAAATGTTCAAGGAACCAGTTAAATGAAGCAGTTATCTCACCTAAATCAACAGCAGATTATGAAGCAAAAGATCGCTGCATATACGAAAAGCCAAGCCCGGATTCTTATACTATTTTGAACAAGATGGGTCTGTTTCTTATACCATTTTCTTAGTGGTTAGCACGCTATTGTAGTCCAATGAAAGGTGCAAGAAATTAAACATTTAGTTTTAACATTATTGTTCTTATTAGAATTATTATAAAGTATCAGCTTTGATTCCTAAAAGCAGGAAAATAAAACCTTACTTGAAGGCAAAACCACGAAGCAGAGACAAGTCACAGTAACCAAAAATGGCTCGGGAAGAAGCTCAAACCATCAGGACGCACAATTGACCCATGCATGAACACAAGGCCGTGAAGCATAGTGGAGATGACTATGGTAGAGCGAAGACAAAGAGGAGATGCGGTGGCTGTGTGTGAAGCTGGAGAAGAAAGCTCTGACTGACTAATGATGGAGAGACAGTGCTAGATGAAAGCAACAGAGGTAGACGAAGGATGGAGAGACGATGATTTAAAGATGAAGTGAGAGACAAGATCGCCGGGCAAAGGAGGAGTGATGCGAGGCCACTGGTGGCTAGAAGAAGAGAAAGATTTCTTGCGACATATGAGAAGGCAGAACTGGGGGCGGCAACTTGCGTAGGAGAGGGCAGAGAGGAGAGGGATTAAGGCTCAATGGAGGGAAGGTCAAAATTTTTGGAGGGAAATGATTTTTCACGAAAAAAAAAGAAAAAGAAAATCCAAGTCATACTATTTAAGTCTTGCGTGTGTCAATTACATCCAGCTTGCGTATGTCAAAATTTGCTTTTATAAATGATAGGCTGAAATTTAAGTCTTAGTATTTTTCACACACAAGAATAACTATATTATAGAATAATATTATAGTGTTTGGCAACTTTTTTTTAATCAATATCTAGAAAACTTGATATTAATGCTGATATATTTTGTTGATATAATTTGATTTATATTAATTTGTATTTAACTTAAAAAAAACAAGAAGAATCAGCTTTTCAAATTAATATATTATTATATGATTTATTAAATATCAGTTTAATTTTTCCAGTCTAATTTTAAATAATTTGATCTTTTTCAGTTTAAAATATCCATATCTATTTAAAAAAGGATAAGATATGTATACATAATATAACATTGACAAGATCAAATTACTTGAAGATATAGACTAAAAAAGGAGAATAATGTTGTTATGAATATACAAGAGATGATACTTAAGATTTATAAATCTCTCACATTATAATGATTATTGCTGTAAATTACTGTAATGTACAATCAAATCATTAAGCAGTTTGTTTAATTAATAGGAGTTGTAATTTTTTAATCAAGGGAGAATTAGAAAGAAGGACCAATAAGCAGTAATATTTATGAGAGAAGATCATAAAATTATCTAAAAGGAGCAAATATTCAAATATAAATTTAAAAATACCACATTGCCCCTATCCCCAAAGCTCCTATATTTTTTTTATAAACAATTTAAAATTTTCTTCTTAAAACCATCATAGATTTTAATTGAAAATAAAAGTTATATACTTTTATCAAAATTTATATTATTATTTAATTTATTATGCGGATGATTTTAAAAAATTCAAAAAAGCTTGTATAATTTATTTTCTTTATTTAATAAGAAATTTATATCAGATTTTCAATAAAAATATCATGTAATGTTAATAAATTTAAAAAGGGAAAAATTGGGGATAAGCCCCCCATTGAAAATTTAATTAGCAAATAGGACCTAAAGATTTTGTGTAACTTAACTTCTTTTGTGTGTAATTTATCTTCCTTTGTGTGCAATGTATCTTCTTTTTTGTGTAATAATCTTTTTTTATGTGATGTGCAACTCAATTTCTCTTTGTGCAAATGAAATTCTCTTATGTGCAACTAATTTCTCACATCTAAATAATGTTTTGTGCAAACCATCTTCCCTTTATGCAACTTATCTTCCTTTGTGTACAACTAATCTTTTCTTGTGCAATCAATCATTTTAGGTCCCATTTGCCAATTAAATTTTTAATGAGGGATTTATCTCTAATTTTTCCTTTAATGAATTCAGTTAATTTATTATAATGTTATAAGACCCCTCCTCAAAATCATTTAAAAAAAGCCACCTAATTATGTAATAACAAAATTCATGTTACGTTAAGAAATTTGAAGAAATCATTTTCTTTGCATTTTTAAATATTTCTTATATAATGAATTAATAATAATCATGAATTAATAATAATCATTTTAATAAAATATATAATTTTTTATCTTTAATTAAAGTCTATGATGATCTTAAATAATTTAAATTTTTTATAAAATAAAAAAATTTTAATTTTTACATGACTGAACAATGTTTGCATTTTTTTTAATTGATTTTATGTGGTTGTAAATTTTGAGAGAAACTATTTTTAATATAGTTAAATTTATTAGTTTGCATTAGTTTTGAAAATAAAATGCAAGAGGAAATATAGAAAAAAATGTAGGAGGTTCGAATTAGAACAGTATAGTATCTTTAAATTTATATTTGAATATTTGGTCCCTTTAAATAATTTTAATTTTTATTATCCTTTTCTATAAATATCACTCTCTATTGGTCCTTCTCTCTAATTCTCCCTTTAATCAAAGTATCGAATCCAAATCCTGAAAATATAACCATGTTAAATATTTGGTTAGAGAATTTTGTTGTTCCTTACAGTTCTATCAAACTCAATACTAATATGCTAGCAATATTGTTATAAACCATTCTATATAAATTTTTGCCTCGCACTCATTATATTCTTCATATGTCTATTCTTTAAATATTAGTAAAATTCAATTTTGTCTCTCTCATTTATTCTTCTACATTAGGATCAATAATATTCAATTAATTTGACTTAGTCATAATCAACCAATAAGTGAAGAAATAATTTTTTTTCATAGGTAAGTCAATGAAGTGCATAGATTGAATTAGTATAGTTCACCAATGCTTCCACGATTTCACTACGTCTCTTTACCAAATTTTTGTTGGTTTCTTTCTTATATAAAATAGTCTTTTATCTCATGAAAAAATAGAATTACAGCATTTTATAAGAATAAAGTTGTAAAATTTCTAATTACACAGTATGTTGGAGAAAAGAAATTAACAATTGCTGACGGAATTAGCCACGAAAAATATTCCGTCGGTAATTTCTGTCATAAATCCGTCAAAATTGCCGTGGGAAAATTTTCCGGCCAAATTTCCGACAGAATTTGTCATGGATTTTTTATGAATTTTTGCGATGGAACATCTTCCGTCAGTAAATTCGTCGCTAATTCAATGTTTTTGATAGTGTCAATAGGATTAATTTGAGAAAAAATAATAAATATGTAAAATAAGTCTTATATATGAAACTAACATCAACTCTCAATTAGGCCATATATTAAAATCAGAAGATTTTTTTTTTTTTGCCGGAAAAACATTTTTTAATAGCAAACGTGCTATTGGAATGAATTTGCATATGTATATACTCTCTGTTTCTATGATAAAAGACAAATACTATATTAAGATTAAAGAAGCACAATAGCAAAAAGAAAAAAAACATGAGAACAAAATGTAGAGTAAAATAGCGAGCTAAAATTCTGATAATGACCAGTAAAAACTTCTACTCTGTTAAAACTCTTGAACAAATTGAGGAGATGAATTGCTTGTTTGTGCAATAAATCATGGAAATCAGAATTTAATCCTAGCTAAGCCACGCAAAGCAGAGTTAATAAATCTTGGGTCCCAATGTTTGTATGGACTAAAAAGAAATTAAAGTGACAAATATTTTGCAGAAATACCCGAAGCTGAAAGGAAGGAACAAAGGAGAGAAAAGTAGTATATATAACGCAGCATGTCAAATACACTCAACAGACATGTTAATGTTTCTCCCTCTTGAGAACATGATGAGTATTGCGGGGGCTCTAATTTTTTGAGAGAGAGAGAGAGAGAGCGCGCGCGCATATATATATAAACTTGAAGTCAAGAAAGACAAGAAATAATACATGCATAGTCAATATATGAAAATTTATAAATGTTTTTCATTTATAGTTGAAGGTAGGGTGGAGTACATCATCATTAACTAAACAAAAAAATTACGTCAAAAATATTTTTAAAAAAGTTTTTTAAAAGCCTGCCACATCAATCCTTGAGAAAATTATTTACTCCTTCGGTCCTAATTATAAGACCCAATTGACTTATTTGAGGAGATTAAAGAAGTAAGTTAAGTTGGTTATTTAATAAATAAGTGTTGTCATTCCTAAAATATCCTTACTAATTAAGTATATTGGTTAAAACTATCATTATTAGAAGGATTATCTTGGAAAAAATTCATAAATATAAGAGACAAAATGGATTGGGGTCTTATAATTAGGACCAAATAAAAAGTATGGGGTCTTATAATAAGGACCGGAGGAGTATCATAATTAGAGGAGGTAGGGCTAACTAGGTTAGAATTTATTTGAAGCTCATAATGCGTAAGGATGTTTTCCACCTTTCCGGTCATATTTTGGATATTTGTACACAGATCCTTCACGCTTTGGGCAATGCAATTCTCACCACACAAAAAATTTAGTCACTAGTGAAAGTCTCAAAATCACCATTAAAATCTTTTGGCGGCAACAAACAGTTACCACCAAGTTCGTTGCTAAACTAAAGGGGTTTTGGATGAGGCAAAACCATGGTTTGCAGAATAGCTTCTGGAGAATAGATTTTGGAGAGAATAGATTTTCTGGAAAAGTGATTCTGATAAAGTGAGAGTGTTTGGATAATTATTGTCAGAAGTGCTTTTTGATATGTAGAAATTACTAAAAAGGACATAAGTTTAAATGATAATTACATATATATTATTAATAAATTTATTACTACCTCCGGTCCTAATTATAAGACCCAGTTGACTTATTTGAGGAAATTAAGGAAGTAAGTTAAGTTAGTTATTTGTAATAAATAAGTGTTGTCATTCCTAAAATATCCTTGCTAATTAAATGTATTGGCTAGAACTATCATTATTAGAAGGATTATTTTGGAAAAAATGCATAAATATGAGAGACAAATGGATTGGGGTCTTATATTAGGACCAAACAAAAGTCAAACGGGGTCTTATAATAAGGACAGGAGGTAGTACTTCAAATAAACATATATTATGAAATATATATTATATGTAATTATCATTTAAACTTATGTCCCTTTTATATATGGCATAAATAATATAAATAATAAGAAATTAGTGTATATATATATTAAT